ACTTTGTCCTTAGTTTCTATGATACAGTTTATTGCAACAAAACATAAACTCAATAAAGCTCAATAAAACTTCTTCAGAAAACAGAAATTAACTTTACTAAACATGTACCAATTTTAAGATGAACCTTTATTGTAGAAATACTAAAAGTACATATATTTGTGAGTTGATATAATTCAGAATTATTTAAGCAAAAAGGAGACCTAAACATTAAAACATGACTAATGAAACAAAGTATGAAAGAGTGAACAGTAATTTGACATACTGCAAAGTAAAAGGATATTCTATTGGAGATAGGGTAATTGTTATAGAAGTGTCAAGCTTTGATCAAAAAGGGTTTCTGAATTCCTCTTAGTGTTGTTGGTCTTTTACAGCTATGCAAAGTACAATAAATTCTGTCTTTTCTTTGTTGATGATAACTAGCCTTCCAGTTAACCATCCCATTGGCTCATCAATTATACTTCCCACCCTTGAGTTGATGATGTCTTTCACTGAATAATGCAGAATTAAATGCAGGACAAAGACATGACTGAAGTGATTTGCAATCATTTGTACTATAGTTAAATACAAAGCAGAAAGTATTAAGGCAAAGATGAAATTTACAAGATTACCATTTTATTAAATTTACAAATCAGTCACAATACAATGGCCTGACTGACCAAATGAACTTGAAGGCATTCAGCAGCGTCACAAGACATGTACTGCAACAGCAAATAATATTCTATGCTAAAATTACTAACAAGTCTATTCTTGGAAAATTCATCATTAATCCTTAAAGGAAATAAAATAAGGCTGGTTTTGGAGTAAGTTTTGCTGCCCTATAAAACAGAAGAAAATAAAATCCTATTCAGGAGCACACTGAAACCTACTATTAGAGAATGAAATAAGTAATCCGGTCCTCATTTTAAATTTTAAATTTCCAGAACACTAAGATAAAAACTTGAGAATTGCAATATAATTCATATTGATTGTATGTATTCAAAAACCTTTTTCAAAAATGTATTGTAGTGGGCACAGTGTGATAGCCTAGCGGCTAAAGTTTTTGCTTTGCATGTGCCGCTAGTATCCTATATGGGCCTCGGTTCCTTTCCAGTGGCCTCACTTCCCATCCAGCTCTCTGCTTGTGGCCTGGGAATGCAGTTGAGGAAGGCCCAAAGCCTTGGGACCCTGCACCTGCATGGGAGACCTGGAAGAAGTTCCTGGCTTCGGATTGGTTCAGCTCTTGCCGTTGGCTGCTTGGGGAGTGAATCATCAGATGGAAGATTTTCCTCTGTCTCTCCTTCTCTCTGTAAATCTGACTTTTCAATAAAAATAAATAAACCTTTAAAAAAATATGGTGCAGCATAAAATCACAAGTCATTATCTTTTACATATATAGTTTAATTCAGACAATACTGGAAACAGTCTAGATAAAATTTAGTATCAAATTTCATATCAATCAAGGGCACAAATTTTTCTAAAAAATACTGAGTATTTTCAATTTGAAGCTATTTAAAATTTTATCCATTATGCATCAGTGATCTATGAAGGTGCCACTATTTCTAATGATGCATAAACAGTTATGCCATAAGACATTGCAATATATTTGATTATATCATAATTAATTTAATGATGACTTCATTTGCCCAGATTATCTTTATCTGCTAGAATAGGAGTTGAAACAGTCCTACAATTCCCTATGATAATTAAAAAAAATTATTACGAACATGCATAGTTTCTCATTGTGCCAGAATGCAGAATATTAGGATATATTCTGCTCATCTCTACATGATCATCTCAGGCCGCTGAGTACAGCCATTTGCAGAATGATGGGGGGTTCTGAAGCTGCTAAATGCTGAGCAGATGAGTAGCTATTGGTTTGCATAAGAGTACAGAACACATCTGATAGCTTTAAAAGATCTACAAAAGCATTCTTTGGGCATAAATCAACACAGAGTAGATATCACACACACCAAAATTAACTCTGTCAAATGTTGATTATAACCAGAGTGGCAAAGCACATTTACTGCATACCACAGGATTAATGTGAAGCAACTTAGTTAACACATGCTATTTTCTTGATACTACCATGTATGAGTGAACACTATGTGTATCATAGCACAAAATGTAAAACCAAAAAGGAAATATGTTACTATTTTGTCCTCAACAATGTGATCCTACAAATAAATTTATCTTGCTAAAGGCTTTAGGTTTTTGCTAAACATTAAAAGTAAAATATAAAGAAATTAATTGAATAATATCTACTAAATTAAAACATCAATTATTATTATATGATGCAGAATAATAGTGGGATGTGCTATTTCAATGTTTCTATTCACTCACTTTCAGTTTATTTTTGATCTGTAAAGTTAAATATATAATTTTCACATAATATAATGTATAGCACTTAATTATTCAATTTCATGAGATTTAATAATTACATATGTGTGTGCAATACCACCCAAATAACATACAGAGTATTTCTTGAAACACTCCATCACATTTCATTTTACTTTCAAACAATTATTTTTTAGTGAAGGGGGCTGAGAGATAGGGGGAGAGGGAGAGAGAGGAAGATCTTCTCTTTGATGGTTCATTTGCAAAATGACTGCAATGGCTAGGGATGGATCAGGCTAGGGCTGGATTAAGGCAGAGTCAGGGACTCCATCATATTGTCCCACAGGCGTGGCAGGGCTTGATACTGGAAGGAAGCTTGATCATATGCAGAGCAATAAGGACCTACAAGCGACATCCAGTGTGGCAACTTAATCTACTGCAACACAAGGCCATCGATAATCATTTTAACTCTTTCCACAAACAACTTTCACTTTCCCAGCTTTCTATACCAGTGGATTGTGATATGATGCTCCAGTGTTCACTTTCCTATATTTTACGTAAAATCTATAAATTTCACTTATTCAGTGTTACCAAAGGATCAATCAAGTTGGTAACTTTTTATTCAATTTTTTTAGACTTGTTTTTATTGAAGAGACAGATCCACAGGGAAAAAGAGATGCAGAGACAAAGATTTTCTGTCTGCTGGTTCACTATCCAAGTGGCCACAACAGCCGGAGCTAAGCTGACCTGAAGCCATGAGCCACCAGCTTCTTTTGTGTCTCCTACTCCAGTGCAGGATTCCACTGTATTCCCAGGCCACAAGCAGGGAGCTGGATGGGAAATAGAGCAGCTAGGACATAAAGTTGTACCATATTTGTGGTTCATAAAATCATTCACTTCAAACTTCTCCTTTTTTATTACATAATTGCTATGCTGTATGTATGTATGGAGTACAAGGTCTACAGGAAAAAGGAAAAGTTTGATTTCTGCCTTGAAAACAGCAAGCTTCCTTTAAGTATTTGATTCTCATGGATATCAAGAGGCACATAATTTATGAGAACATATGAATATTAATAAGAGACTATATATAGAGGAGTATGAGAGCTTGGAAAATTCATAAAGATCTTTCAATGTCCTGTGACTCTGGTTGAAAGTAAAAGAACCAAAAGAGGATATCTGAAAGAAGTCACCCAGCAGAAATTGTGTGTATATGTGTTTCATGTATGAAGACTGAGAGAGAGAGAGAGAAAGAGAGAGAGAGGGAGAAACATGCGGACAGGCAGAAGCACAATAGCACCTGGAGTAGACTTACCAATAATACAGGAATAAACAGGTTGTATAGGAATAGGGCTAGACAGGTTGTATACCCCTACAATTTAGAAAACTCGCAGAAATAATATTTAGATATTTTTATTTTAAATGTAGGGGAAATTTTTCTGTATCCAGAAATTTTGATTCATAGCCCAGGGTTTGCTATTTTTAAAAATTAAAGTGTGTAACTTTCACAAGTAGACAATATTCCTGGACCACTTAGTAATTTTTCTTATGCAGTGATTATTGTAGCAAAATTGATGCTGCAGTCCTCCTTTTAAGCTTTTGTCTGTAATCTCCCAGGCTATTCAACTGCTTCTTTCCATAATGGTGCAGGTTAAACTGCTCTGTAGTTTTCAGATAATTCATCTTTGTCTTTCTTCCATCTGGGAACAAGTTCTCACCACCTGAAATAATGTTTCCACATCTCTAACAAGAATTGCTACCCCTTTTCTGTTATTTATTTATTCATTCATTTATTTTCCTCTTTCCCTTTCTCCCCTCATCATTGTTTCCTCTATTATTCACTGATACAGGCCTTCAGCTGCAGTCATAATTCTAACATTTTGCTATTTATGTGTCATGATATTGTAGGTATAGGCAATAGCAGAGAATCCAGTATCTTGTGGTCAAGGGAGAAATACAATTTCATTGGGAGTCCTTCTTTTTAGGGAGTAGAGATGCACACTTCAGTTCTTCTGATACCAGTACCTTAGTCTCCATTATTTGGTTGTTTATGAGAACATAAATGCATACCTGTATTCCTATATAACCTGTTGCTTTGTATTTTACATGGAGATTGTCTTAAGTCAGAGAAAACATATGCTATTTGTCCTTTTGGGAATGGTTTATTTCACTGAGCATCATGGTGTCTAGTTGGGAGCATTTTGTGGCAAATGGTAGAATTAATTTTCAATAGCTAAGTAATATTCCATAAAGTAGATACCCCATGATGACTTTATCCAACCTTCTTTTGATGGGCATCTACTTTGTTTCCATGTCTTCATTTTTACGGATTGTGCTGCTATGAATATAGGAATGGAGATTGCTTCCTTATGTGTAGATTCGCATCTTTTGCATCTTTTGGATGTATTGCTGGGCCATGTGATAGATCAATGTTCAGTTGTCTGGGCACTGCCCATATTGACTTGCACATTGGCTGCACAAATCTGTAACTGCTCCCCAGCCTTCTCTTTTGCTCGCTCTCCATATCTCCATTTTTCTCTGTTTCTGTTTCTTTCAAAAACTATTTTATTTTTATTGGAAAGTCAGATATACAGAGATTAGGAGAGACAGAGAGGAAGATCTTGCATCTGCTGATTTGCTCTCCAAGCACCCACTATGGCTAGAGCTGAGCCAATCTGAAGCCAGGATACTGGAGCCTCCTCTGGGGCTCCCAGGCAGGTGCAGGGTTCCAAGGCTTTGAGCCATCTTTGACTGCTTTCCCAGGCCAAAAGCAGGGAAGAGTGACTGCCAGGATTTGAACCTGTGCCCATATAGAATCCCGGGACGTACAAGGCAAGGACGTCTACTTGTGTAGACTACTGCACTGGGCCCTGAAAACAATATTCGTAATGGTTTCTATATCAAATAATTTGGCATCCAGATATGTTTCATTACGTATATATACCCTTTCATGTCTAAGGCAACACATGGGATTTACTTGTTTCATTTTAATTATTGTTTATTACACTTAACATAATGATATCACATTTCATCCATTGTAATGCTCATCAGGATTTTCTAAGAGCTGAGCAATATTCAGTTGTGTTGACAGAAGAGTTCTGAGTATTTAAGTCGATTGTTGAACACAGAGAAGCATCTTCAACGCTACGTGCCCCTGTTAAACATGAGCCATTGGCATATGAGTAGGAACACATTAGCTTCACGTGCTTACTAGCAGTAACTGTCTTTATAGCTGACATTTGAAGCTTTCTCTATTGGTTCCTCTACTCTCATGCTTTTTCCTTGTTGGCAGTTTCTCATTGGTAATATCGTAATGTCTTCCCCATAATGTATTCCTTGCATCCAACACTATCTCATTTTCTAGCATGCAGCAAGTCAAATATAAACCTGCTTTTTTTTCCCCACTAATTCATTCCTGAATTATGATACAGCTAAAATCTTTCTTGAAAGAATGTCTATTGTTATTGTAATCTTCCTGACCCTTTAAAACAAATTGTGCTTCATTTTGTATGATTTAGTAATCTTCTTGTCCATTGAAAAATCTTCTCCATTGCAATTTTATGAATTAAATAACTAATATCATTTGTTAAACTTAGAGTAAGCCAGAGGCCTGGTGCAATGGCACAACTGGCTAATGCTCACCTTGCATGCACCGGGATCCCATATGAGTATGAGTTCATGTCTCGAATGCAGCAGGGGATGACCCAAAATCTTGGGACCCGTCATTTGTGTGAGAGACCAGGAGGAGGTTCTTGGCTCCTGGCTTCAAATCAGCTCAATTCCAGGCATTACAGACATTGGCTCAGCTCTAGCCATTGCAGTAACTTAGACAGTGAACCAGCAGACAGAAGATCTTTCTCTCTGTCTATCCTTTCGCTGTAAATCTGTCTTTCCAATAAAAATAAATTTTTTTTGTTTCTTCAAAATATGGCAGTCTATGGGCTATCTCAAAATGCTCTTTTATTAATGAACAAAATAAGAGGGGAAAGAACCTCACTCACTGCAAGCTAACAAGAAAACAGCAAGTATCAGTTAAAAAAAAATTGGAAGACTGACATCTTGATGTAACAAGATAAACTGCCACCTGCAAAGCTGAGATCCCAAAGAGGCTCCAGTCTGTGTCTTGGCTGATTAGTTTCCAAACTAACTCCCTGTTAATGTGCCTAGGAAAGGCACAGAACAATAATGTACAGAGCCTGCAATCCTATTGGAGGAGCTTATTGAATGTAGAAAATGCATTAAAGAGAAAATACACTGCAATACAATACAGTTTGCCCATAAATTTGTTCTTATACATCTCCTAGGTGTAAGAATCACTTATTAATAATTAACATACATATTTATAGAGCAGAAATACTTGGAAGCTTATTTTACCCAAAATATCCTTATTATGTGTTTTAAAAATACCTTTTTTTTTTAAACTCAGGTAATTTCACGGATTTCCACATTTGTGGCAGCTGACAATACAAATTTTAACATGCATAGACATGAAATTTATGAAGCAACAATCATGCATGTTAAAAATTTACTTGCAAATTATGTAATCTTTCTTCTTAGTATCTCGAAACCTCAATTTGTTTCCTATAGCATATTCTACAGTAAAACAGATGTCCATAATATTGAAACTGACAACACACCAATTACTGAAATATATGCAGACCCTTGAAACAGAGTAGAGACACTAGATACTGGTCTTTTCATTTGAACCAACTGATTTTTGACAAATAAACTAAAAAAAGCTCCCTGGAGAAAAGGCCAGTCTCGTCAAAACACAGCTTTGGCACAACTGGAGCTCCAGCTACACAAGTACTTGAAGTCCTGAGCAAAGATCAAGTCACAATGAATCAGAGATATAAATCTAGGACCTGAAATGATCAAATTGTTGCAGAGAACAAAGGGAGATTCTACCATGCACTGACATAGGCAAAGCCTTCTTAAGTAAGACAGTAAAAATACTGCAATAAAGGTAAAATTGGCAAATAGGATAACATCAGGCTAAGAAACTCCTGCACTGAAAAAGGAAAAAAAAAAACCCTCAAATAAGAAGCAAAAAGAAGGGGAGAAAATATTTCCAAGTTGTAAATCTGATAAATAGTTTATATTCGCTAGTATAAGTAACTCAAGGAACTTAATAACAACAAATAATGGGTTCCTGGGTCTGGCGGCGTAGCCTAGCGGCTAAAAGTTCTCCCCTTGTACGCGCCAGGATCCCATATAGGTGCTGGTATTAATCCTGCCAGCTACATTTCCCATCCAGCTCCCTGCTTTTGGCCTGGAAAAGCAGTCGAGGACAGCCCAAAGCCTTGGGACCCTGCACCCACGTGGAAGACTCGGAAAAAGTTCTTGGCTCCTGGCTTCAGATTGGCACAGCGCCGGCTGTTGCAGTAGCTTGGGGAGTGAATCATTGGATGGAAGATCTTCCTCTCTGTCTCTCTTCCTCTCTGTATATCTGACTTTGCAATACAAATAAAATAAATCTTTAAAAAACCCAAATAATGGAATGCAGTTAAGAAATGAGCATATCATCTTCAATGGATGAAATACACATGGCAAATTGATAAGCTGCAGTCTTTTTAGAGCAACCCACAACCCCCACCTCCCCACTCTGGTTCCCATGCTTGTCAGCATGTACAGCAGACTGGATATGTCAGAGCTGGGCCTCCGCAGTGGCTCAGGACAGAGCCGTGGACAGAATATCCAAATGTAGATGGAGGATAAGGCAGTATATTCGAGCTTCCAGAAGACCTCTGGTACCATGGCAGAGCATGAAGACAGAATAAATTGATCAACTACCCCAGCCAATCATTAGCAGTGAAGATCTGGGCAGACGGAGACAATAAGGTGAGCTATAGCAGCCAGTGGATTTAGGAGAGATTTCATTGTTATTGAAGTGGTGGAATTGCTAGCAATTCAGATTGTTGAACTAGCAAAACCTCTTGAGAAATTCATGGTGTTGTAAATTTCTATTTTTCTTCCTGATGTTGATTTTGTATTGTGGTTGTTCATTGAAGAGGGACGTGTGGTGACCGCGTAATGAAAGACTATCATGTCCAGATGTGAGGATGCAGTGCAGTGTGCATCTCTACTTCCAGATCAAAGATAAACAACTAATGAAACTATTAGCTGTATCTGGACAGAAGGATGCTGGAGTCCCTGCCATTATCCATGCCTGCAATGATGAGCACATGACTGTTTATGAAGAGCTATGCTATAGTAATAATATAGGGGAATTCAGTCGGGAGGAGCGGAGTGGGGAAATCCCAGGGCCTATGGAATTGTATCATAGAATGAGGATTATGATTTAAAAAGAAGTTAAAACAAAATTAAAAAAAATAAAATATTGGGCCCAGCGCGGTGGCGCAAGTGGTTAAAGGTCCTCGCCTTGCACGCCCGGGATCCCATATGGGCGCCGGTTCTAGTCCCGGCAGCCCCGCTTCCCTTCCAGCTCCCTGCCTGTAGCCTGGGAAAGCAGTCGGAGATGGCCCAAAGCTTTGGGAACCTGCACCAGCGTGGGAGACCTGGAAGAGGCTCCTGGCTTCGGATCGGCATAGTATGGGCCCGTTGCGCTCACTTGGGGAGTGAATCATCGGACGGAAGATCTTCCTCTCTGTCTCTCCTCTCTGTATATCTACCTTTCCAATGAAAAAAATAATAAAAATAAATCTTAAAAAAATAAAATAAAATATTATTTGGAAGACAGAGTTACAGAGAGGCAAAAAGAAACAGAAATTTTCCTAATGATTTATTCCCCAAATGGCCAGAGAAGCTAGAGCTGAATCAGACAGAAGTCAGAGACCTAAAGTCTGTTCTCCACATGGGTTCAGGAGCCAAGCACCTGGGCCATCTTTTATGCTCTCCCAAGAGCATTAATTAACAGGGAGTTGAGTGAGAAATGGGGCAACCAGGACATGAGCTGGGAGCCACAAGGATGGCAGCATTGCAGACAGCGGCTTAACCCTCTAACTCCACAGCACCTGCTGCAAATGTTTAATCCTTAATGAAAATTGGAGTAAATGAGTTTCAAAACTAAATAGTGGCAAAAATAAACCAAACTATTAATAGATGGAATATTCTAAAAGAGCGTAAGTACTCACAATGCTTCCTGGCCTTTACCCAGCTTTTTTGGATGACAGTACTAAAGCAAAGGCTCCCCAAGGTCAAGGACTTTGGTCTTACAGCATCCTCAAGGGAAATTTTAAAATAGAGTTACAAAGACAACACCAGTAAAATAAATCCATACTAGGGAGCAAGCTTTCAGATATTCAACTTACAACAGATGGAGAATAACAGGGAGATTTGGGACAAGTAAAAATGGTAAGTCAATAATATTTTTCACCCTTATTTAAGCTCTAAATACTGACCAGTCTTATTGCACTTACATATCTTTCCCCAACATTTTTTTTTGATGGTATATGCTCAGATCCCTGTCCAATGAATGTTGTGAAATTCCTCACTTGTGTTCAAAGTGTTCTGTGATATAGTATGGATTATATATACACAACCTTCCCCACAGCTTTCACACTCTGGCAATTTTCACTTTATATTACATCATTCTGCTTATTTAGATTTCTTCTTTTTCAGATGCATTTCCTATCACTCCCCCAGGCTCCAGGTCGACCTGTACCCAAAATCCCCATGGGAATATTTGTTACATTGTTCTGATCTCACTAATAAGCTACATCTTTCTTTGGCCTCC